CTGAATGAGTTTAAACCTGGAAAATTCTGCGTATTTCTTAATGCTTATCCTGTATTTTACCTCTTCTAAACAACCATATAATTGCTGAGCAATGGGAAGTTTCCTAAGCCCTGCTAGCAGCCACCGTTCTCTGAAGAAAGATACTTGGTCACCGTGCCACTAGGAATTTGTCTGAAACAAGGGAAATAGCATCCCAGAACTTACACAAATTACACACTCCAGCTCTCATCCTTGGCCGAAGATCAAAGATCACATACATTTGAGGTAATTACACCTGCCTCCTGTCAGGACCAGTGATTATTTCCACCCAAATTACTATGTTCAAGAGCACATTCTCATGAATGCAGTCTCTTCCACAGCTCATAAGATATCTTTAGTCCATGGAAGATGTGTCTTCAGGGGAGAACCCTTTGCATTAAAGTAAGTGGATATCCCATAGTGGGGAAAAAGCCAGGCCTTTTTCCCCAGGTCTCTGAAGTGCTGAGGAGTTATTTGGCAACTACATCATTGCTATTCTGAAACCCACATGCCAAAGCTCCCTTTGGGTGCTAGAATGGCCAACGATGCAGCACAAAGCTAGCCCCAGCCCAGGGCATGCAGCCATCCAAGACCAGCCCAGCACAGCTCCTCTGCTCCCATCAATTGATCCTCAGGGTGCTGCCACAGGTGACGTCCTGCCTTCATCCCTTCTTCCCCCAGAGAGTGAGTCAGGGGCTTGTCTTCAGACCCTCCGCTCCGTGGCTGGTGGCACATGTCACTGGGGGTGTTGATTTGCCCCGTTGCTTCTCTGATGGGAGTAGGCTCCCAGCGCTGAGGAAGCATGGAGCTCTTCCACCAGGAACCCCACGTTTGGGGCTGCAATATGGCTTCAGAGTAATGTGTTCGATTGGATGAATCACAGGGAAAAAACGGAGCACTTCATGGAAGAAAAGCACATTTCACCCACCCGCCCCCACCCACCCCCAAGTCTGAAAGCTACAAGTAAAACCGATCACAGGGATGGTACAGAAGAACATGCACTCAAACAGGGCCGGATGGGAAGACGCATCCTCGCGTGTAGGAGGCATACCCAGTCTCGCTTTGTTGCCAGGTCTCATGCCATCGAGTGTACCCGTCCCAGCTGTTCTGGGCTCAGTCCCTTCTCCCTTCCCAACTTGCACGGAGTCAGCGTCCACACTAGCAGGTGGTGGCCAGTGACTGATGGATTGGGGGCTGGAAGCAGCGCACGTGTTCCACCGTGGAACTGTCTGTTTCCACCGACTTCATGTACTTGTTCAGGATGGCAAAAATCTCGTTGTTCAGGATCTGATACTTCCTGATCCTGTCGGCCATCTTCTTCAAGGGCTGGAGGGATGGTGAGGGAGAAAAACAGTAGATGAAGAGACTTGTATGCCAACTGACCAGCTAGAAGTGCCAGTACCTCTGCCCCACTGCTGGAAACCTCTGCTCAAGCAAAGCAGCTACAACACGTTACAGTTCCACTTAGCACCTCCCGGGGACCGGTGACTCACTTAATTATAGGGTTTGATGACTCAAGGCAGAGCATTAACAAGGTCAGTGAGTGGTCCTAAGTTAACCATTCTGAAGTCTAGACTCCCAGCTGCTTATTGATAAGGGCACTGAGATCACAGTGCTGGAAATACCAGCTTCTCAGCTCCAGCTTCCCAACCCCAGGAAGAAGGGAAAAGCTTTGAGAGAAAAAAATATTAGATTGTCAAGCTAATTAAAACCTTGGCCTCTCTGCTGGGACCACAGATGTAAATCTCACAGTGAGTGTGTCCAGTTTGAGTAAGGTTAACACCGGGCATGGTTGATAATTTATGAGTTTGGTCAAAGCAAGACAAAAAACAGAGAAGTGTGCTGGTTCTGGTCCTTTGGGACCTCACCCTTCAACTTACCACGTTTTTTATGATTTCATCCTTGCCGTCCTGCCTCTGCACCTTCAGCAGGTGGTAGCAGAAGTCAAAGAGGTCAAAGCGCCGTTGCTGTCCGAGGAGAACGATGATAGAGCAACCTGCCCAGTTCAGACCATCTCCAAAGCACTGCCTGGAAGGGAGGACAGGGTGATGGGGTGGGGACAGATGACAGGATAGAGTTAGGTAAGAGAAGTCCTACCATCATATCAGGAACTTTCCTTAGAGAATTCCTAGGGTAATCAGATTAAGTCCTACTCCTAGAAAGTGGATATACACCTACAGAAAATGAACTCAGAATAAGATAGGCAGAATTACTCCAGGGCCAGGCTGTGCAGGGGGCACCAACCGCACAAGATGGATGAGGACCTAGGCTCTGACTTGGGTTGCTGGCTTATCTACCCATCTCCTTCTGCAAGTCACCTTGGGCATGTTCTTTACTTTGGTATTTTCCCCAACTGTTCAAGTAGAACGCTCTCTGGGCATGTCTTTATGTCCATGCCCAACAAAGTTCATCAAGGACCCACGTTCCCATTCTGCCTCTACGCTGGCTGAGGTTATTGCTGCAGCTGAGGGCAGGCTGGGAGCTTGCCGGCCCCGCTAGGTCATGTGCAGCACTAACAGCAGAGATGGCTGACGGACACTCACTCTGCAGTGAACTCATTGGTGCCCACGGGGATGCAGTACACAAACTGCATGGCACTCCAGAGCCGGTGAAATTCCACACACTCATCCACGTGCATGACCCCGTTCGTCGGGGGTGGCCCACGCCAGATCGGGTCCTGCAGGTAGCTCCTAATTCTTGTCAGGATCACCTCGAACATGGACAGCCCGCAGCATAACCGCTCCTTGGTCAACAAGTCACCCTCCCGGGCGATGGCTATTTGCTGAGGAGGAGGAGGAGAACCAAAGAAACAAGTGACAATGTAATACAGACGGACCCTCTTGCTGGACTTAACGCTTCCCGGTCTCCCCGGCTCTTTCAAAAGTTGACACGCATCCCATGCAAGGTCCAACCTTACCTCTGATGGCTGTTCCCATGGCAATCTCCACCAGAGAATACTCATCCCTCAAATGGAAGAAGACTTAATATTGTGCTCAATTATATTTCATCAGCCTAAGTATCTTTTGAAGTAACTACGTACGTCAGAAAACAAAAGTTGAAGGCAAAGCTCTGATCAAAAACACTGATCCTTAATTCTGCTAGCACACCGTTCTATTAGTGCTACTCAGCCTTCCTGGGTTTAATTTCATGGTTTCTGCAGAATATGACAATAAAACAGGAGAGAACAGGGACATTTTCCTTCCCAGGACATTGCCATTATATTTTAAAATGTAGATCGCCTATGGCTTTCTTGATTTCTTTGGTAGCTAGGCTTAAAAAGCTCTGAGGAAGATGAGAAGCCACTGGAACCTTAATACTGGAAAACCTGTGGTGTATAAGAAAGTCAAATAATATTTTTGTCCAGATGTGGAAGCTTTAGATGTGTGGAGAATTTCTGTGACATCCCCACTGGGATTGACATGTACAGATCTGGAATGGCTCCATTGGATGGAGCTCATTTGGCTTTTACACTAGAGGAAAATTGAAAGAGAATTTACTTCATTTCAGCCCCATTGCTTGCCCAGAGAGAAAAAAGGGGGGATTAAAAGCAAGCAGGGCCTCCCCCCAGCAAGGGAGCACTGACCCCGCTGAGCTCCGTGAGTGGGGCTGGGTGTAAGCGTGGTGTTTGCTCACTGCCCTGACAGCCTCTGCTTGCCATTCCCAGCAGCGTTACTGCCTTCTCTTTGCAGCGCTGCCAAAAATAACACGGGGAATGGGAACCGAGAGCTGCGAGTCGTGTCCGTGGCTGTGGTAGGCGCCAGCTCTGCTGTGCTCACCCCGGTAGATGAGCGGCTGCCACGGCGCCCTGGCCCCACAGGCAGAGCCTTCTGCACCTCTCACCACTTTGGCAGAGGCATGCAGAGCAAGCCTGACATTTACTGACTCCCTGCCTATCCCAGAGGACTTCCTGGAGCTTTAAGTAGTTTTTAAGCATTTGCTCCATTTCCAGCTGTCCTTGTCATGCCTATAAAAACATTACCCTGATCAGAATCATGATGAGGGCTCAGAGCATCTGATGCAACGGGCAAACATGTGTCCTGGCCAGACATTAAGATCATGAATTATGCTCGGTTTACTTGGGTCATCCTTATTCCACTCTAAAAAACACATGAACGTGCCTGCACATCCCCTTTCCTGACTATTAGTTTATGCTGGAAGTATCCTAAAGCATTTTTAGTTTGGTGGTTATTGAAATTAGAAGCACTACAGTTCCTGCTTGTGCCACAATTTCAAGGACATTCTGGGAACCGCGGATTAATTAACGTTCAACTAATAGCAAATATCAAAGGAAAGCTGTATTGCTGTGCAGAGGCCAGATTGGGTCTGGGATCCCTAGATCTGTTAAACACAGGAAAGGTATCACGGGTTTCATGGCACGCACTTGCATGTGTTTGCTTAGCAAGTAATGATTTATCCAACTTGTTTTCATAGCTAAAGGCTGTATGATTTCTCTCTCCTCACTTGCTCCAAGCTATTACGGGTACAGATCTGCACCTGCAGACACTGGTCTGTATGCCAAAATGGGGACACAGTAGAAGTAAAGCCATTTCACATATAAATTAGGTGTTAGCATTACTGTTTGCTAAGATACAGTGATAAAAAGGTACTTTTGAGAACAAACTAGTCCAATGATCTTCGTATACTGCTTCTGAAGAAATGTTGATCTAGAAAGGGAGGTATCTTGCTTTCAAAGAATGTAGTGCCACTCAGTTACGCACATTCACAGACAGAATTTGGATCTAGACCTCATCACGGTAAGACCAGTCTTTGCTACAGGACTGCTACCATTGGGTAGATATGTAACACGGTGAAGGCAGCTGGAGAGCTATTAGTCAGACCTGCCTCACAGTCTGGGGTCCCACTGATTTCTAAGATCAGGAGAGGAAGGGTGCTCTTGAGAGAAACCGTCAAAGGATGCCACTGTGCTGGCTCAACTATTCCCTCTGTCTGTCTTCAAAAGGAAAGGCTCCCACTGCTTCCAGTGAAAAAAGTCTGACTGACCAAGCACTTTCGAAAATCTTCTACTAAACACCCCTATGATCAGTATGAAAAGGGAGAGGATTCCTCTCATGAACCACTCTGACCACCCCTGGTTCTTTATGAATCGCCTATCAAACAGCTGCTTTTGGATTCCCAATGCAAAACAACTTTTTACAGGAATCACTGACAGTTTTCCTGCCATTGCACAAATCCCGTTGTGCCATACCTCTTTTACAGCTTGTTACCAAGCAAGCTTGCAAGAACCGCACCCAAATCCTGCAAAGACTGAAAGATCCCCACTAACTACAGCAACCACTGGCTCAGCCCCTTCACAGCATGTAATTACATGAAATGCATAGGGCCACCTTCTGGGCTCTAGCAGGCGTTTTCTGCTCAGATTCTGGACAATTGCTACAAGGTACTTAGGCGTTCTGCAGGAAAAAATCACGACTGGCCTGTGTCCAAAACTGCATTTCCAAAATGCATGTCCAAAACTGCGTAAGGAGCAAGCTTGGAAGCTATGGAGACACCTAGAGAAAGTGACTCCTGTGTTCATTTACATCTGAGCTCAAAAAAGATCTGGTACTCAACTGTACCTGTGTGATGAGTATGGGAACAGGTTACGGAAAAATTAACTTGTAGCGGGACATGAAATACCTTTTGTTTTCATCACCATCATAACTATAGCAGGGATAAGCAACGAGTGGACTCTAATAGCAGATTTCAATGATGATTTTGCATGGAAAGAAGGAGAGAGAGAAAGACCAACACAAAGACACAAAAACACAGCGGTGAATTCTTTTTCTCGAGTGTCTCCTTTAAAAGGAAGTCAATGGGAAATGAGAAAAGTGTCTACAAAGTAAGACAAAGCCCTCAGTTATCCAGCCAATTTCTTTGTTTCATATGATTTCCAATGAAGCAAAGCTCAAAATGTCCTTGATCCATCAGAAAAACAGGAAAAAAAATCAACAAGTTTCTGCCTGCCATAGATCTGTCACCTCATACAACTGAGTGTTCATTCCATTCCCTCAGCAGTACATTACAGAAAAAGGGTGTTGATTCATGTAATACTTTGAATTATTTTGACCCATAAACCCCACTAAGTAGGCAGTGGAAGTTTGGCTATTGATATCAGTGGAGCTCAAATTTTGCCCCTTACATGGATCAGTCTATGGAGATATTTTTAACAGTGCTCAATTTGCGCATGAGAGATTTTTCCCAAGCTGAGACCCACCTCAAGAAGAGACTTAAATGAAGCCATCATTTTAAGCATGTGCTGAAGCTCTAAGCATGTGCTAGGAGGGAAACCATTCTCAGATGTATTCCTTGACAGGGATGAGCTTAAAAATGGACCACACTGCAGCCCTAAAGTTGAATCCCCAAAAGTGATGGCAATTGATTAAGTCAGGGACAGCCCTGCAAAGTTTCCCCTCAAACCACCCCAGCTATTCTCCATCTTTTTAAAATGGAGATGAAGAGTTTTTCAGAGTTGTTTGTATTCAGAGCTGGCTTCTAGCATGCTTTGCCTTACAGCTCCCCGCCAACTCTCCAGACCAGAGGCAGCAACACACCATCAGGGGACCCGCTCACAAATTTCCCTTCAGGATGTCTGCTAGGGCAAGGATTCTGATGTTCTTGTCCAATTGATGTTTTGAAAAAGAAAGAAAAAAAAATAGGATCACTTTCCCAAGGCCAAAGAGGCCATCTGGGGACTGCTATGAATTTTCAACAGCCATCCCTTTCAATGAAATCCTTACCTGCGGAGTGCCCAGCCTCTCTATTAAGGGAACCAGGTGAAGTGGGGCATACTTGGCTTCGAGACGCTTCATGCGCACCTCCAAGCGTTCTCCTTCTGTCAAGCGAGCAGCAAACAGTGAAATGAGAGGAGGAAGTGGAGACCCGCAGTTTCCGCCGAGTTTGCTCAGAGCTGCCCCCCAGCAACCATCCAATGAGACTTTGGATCAGTGAGCCAAACCGACAGCAAATGAGGGAACCAGTGATGCAGAGAAAGGAGGGATGTGCAATTGCAGTCTCAGCAGCAGCTTAATCACACACGTCCAAAAGCATGTCCCTGTTACTGATCACTCCTGTTGAGATGGACATTTCATGCTGTCATTCTCCAAAGAGGCTGTGAAATGGCTTTAAAACTTTAAGGGAACCCCCAGACTAACTAGGGTTTCAGTCTGTAACTTGGCTACAGAAAATGTACCCTCGGCATTTGTTTCCACCTGACTTTTGGCTGTATCCACTTAGCTATTTCGAGGAGGAAGCAGGGCCAGAACTAATCCTCAGCAGAAATGGGAGAGAAACAGCTTCTTGGCAGAGACCTTTGAGTCTGTCCACTGCTTCCCTCTCAGCTTCTTACCTTTGATGTAGACCCTGGGCAAAATATTTTGGAAGGGAGCAGCATGCAGCAAATCACAAACTTCTTCCTGGGACTGAGGCAGGAAGAAAGAAAGATAAAGTAAGTTAAAAAATACCTATGGGGTTGAGTGTACGGCTCAGGGGCCTGGGCAACACTACAACAGTTCATGTCTACGGCACCTACTCAAATCCAACCCAGCTCCGTAGTAACTCCAATGGTTTGAAACTAAATGAACTAAAACTGGAAGAAATACCTCTCAACTTAAGCCAGGAAGTTTCTGTAACTCAAACAAGTCACTTCCTGCCTGTACAAGGCCAGAGCTTTATATTTATTTTCTATCCCACTTATTACAACCGCAAGTAAGACTGGATAAAGAACACAGAGGTTTCGGTTACATCTCACTCTGATGACATCCTGCGGTTTATTTTTTACAAAGAGTGCCCAGGTGGAAATCACCCTTTGGGTTAGTTGTTTTAGGATGTGTACACATAATACTGATGCGTGGCTGTGTTGCAAATAGGTATGTAACACATCGGTCTGAAATTATTTGGTTGTTCATATGGTGTTCTCAGTGGCGGCTATCAGACCAGAATCCCAGTGCTGTAGGCACCAGGGAGAACAATACAGAAGTCCAGAGAGGAATAACATCATGAGATGCCACCTAAGGGAACGCATGCCGATGCACTTGAGAAAAAATAATCCCAAACACAGATGCACAAGGAGGAGAAACCTAGAAATAGGCAGGTGGAGACTGAGGAGTAATGGCTGACAATACATTGTATACAAGTCTGCAATGGGAAACAGCAGCAAGGAAACCAAAGCTGTTTAACACAGAGGCATTGCATCACGACAAGGCATTAGTTTGCTCCTGCAGAAGTCCAGTTCTCGGACATGCTTTCAGTTCTGAGCTTACTGTAGAGATATAGACACACTCAACAGCAGGTCATGAGAGCGCAGCAAAAGATATCTGGGCGCCAGATGGAATGACTGGGTCTGTTTGGGATGCACAGGTGGATAGCCCACCTTCCAGCCAAGAGGACAGTGTAGCATGGAGCTGCAGGAGGCTGTACTGGCGCATGGATGCTGGGATGAGAGCGAGTTTGTGGGAGTGCAGTTTGTGACACAGTGCTGGAAGGACAGGAACAGTCCGGGGTCCCTCCATGGACAGAGGGATGCTGATGCTAACGGAGTGTGCCTGTCACCTTGGTGGTTCTGTTTGCAAAACTCTTTTCATTCCTAGATGAATGTTCTTTCACTGCAGTTTCCCTCTGATAAAGAGAGTATTTTCACCATTTGCAGCCTGCATTCACCTGATATCTGTCCCAAAATTAGTCATGTTATTAATAGATCTCCTCCCCAAGGCCCATTACCTGAGAGTAAGAATTCTGCTTAGAAATTTAGTCCCAAGCAACACCTCATTCCTCGAATTTAAACAATAAAAAGAGGGTAGATTGGAAAAGACTGTACATTTTCTCTAGAGCAGTCTCTGCCAGCAAATACCACCAGCCTCAGATCATTCTGACAGCCATGAAGATAACTGCATAAGAGCCCCATTAGAGGGACAATCTTGTTACATGATGGCTCTACGCATCTGACATCTTCCAGTGAGCGAGAACCAGTGCCCACTGCGTGCAAAAGGGCTTCATATTCTGAATGTATTTCTGTGTGGAAAAACAGGGGATCAGAGAGGGGCAGGCCGGCTGGCACAGGAAGTGGGCAGACGCAGACTTTGATGGGCAGTCTTACTAAAAGGACCCCCAAATTCTCAACGTCTTTTCTTCTTTATTTTCTGCTATTCTAAAATGCCAGTATACTGCTGGTGTACAGCTCCTGGGAGGGGAAGAACATTTTGGCATTGAAATTAAGGATTTCTAAAAGAAGCCACCATGTGTCCTGTAAGTGTCCATTTACAGATGGGACAGAAAAGGCACATGCAGTACATCCAGCATAAAATCCAACACTGAGAACAGCAGAAAGCAGTGACGCAGCCACAAAAGGAATAGAAACTGCCAGGCTACAGTTGGCCACTCTGGTCATTATATAAACAAAAGCCAAGCTGCTAGGTGATACACATCTCTAGTTTTCTTAATCTTACATAACTGCTGCTCACTGAATGTGTTTGATACATCATATCAGAAACTACAAGTCTCTGTACCTGGGGTTAAAATACAGAAGGAAGGGCAGAAATATTCATCCTGAGGACATGGAGACATTTTCCATTTTCCCTGTGCTCTATCATTGAGTAAAACTTGGAATCTTTAAACTTCCTTCTGAAGCTTGCTCTGAACAAAACTTTCTGGCTTTTCTTGGAAATCTCATCTTATACAAGGGAAATACTTCTCAAATTTTTCTGGAAAAACTGAAACAACCCTGCCAAAACCATTTTGTCATAAAATATGCATTTTTTAATGTACAATTGTGCTGTTGAATGCTCCTCAGTTGGCTCTACACCAAACTGCGAGATAAATTAATTATGAAGTAAATCTATTGTGTGAAAAACTAGAAGCTAAGATGATGTGCAGCACTCAGCCATAGCCTTTGCCCCATAACAGGACGGGCATCACGTGAGCTGAGAGGCTGAGAAGTGCACATGCAAAACACTTGTGCAGGGGGCAACACTAAGTCAGCGCTCCAGCTAAGTTTTCACTGGAGATAAGTCATATCTTCCGAGATTTCCTTCCTGTTGGATTACTTTCTTCTTATCACCATTAGAATCAATCAGTTTTCTTCTTTTCATTGCACTGGCAACGCAAAAGAGCAAAGGGCTCAAATCTACTTCTCACTGTACAAATATCTATATAAAAAATACTGATCCCTGCCCCAGAGAGCTTACAATCTAGAAATAAGCTCCAGTTGGTTTTATTTCTGAGAAGGATGAAAAAGGGGTAGCTTTGGGTCCAAGAATTAAATCTAGATCTTCCAGTATTCAGATTCTCCTTCAGCAGTCCCAGATGTCAGTGACCAAGCGCCAATGCACACCATCCCCATGGACATGCCCACAGACCTCAGCAACAGCCCCGGAGAGACCCTGAGCACACAAGAAGCTGGAAAGTAACATTTCCCAAATTCTTCTGATGGAGAACCCACTTCCACTTATACTCTTGAGCTGGCAATTGCAAGTAGAATCTGTTGGTGCAGAGGGGTTTTGCCTTACCAAAGCCTGCTCAATAAGGAGGCAGAAGAGAATGGCATTGCCCACTTCTCTGAGGCTCTGGAACACATCGGTCTTCAGCTCTGCGTACTCAATGATGTCCTTCAGCTGATGGTGGAAAAACTCCAGGATTCCTTAAAAGACAAGAAAGGACAGTCAGAAAAATGATCAGAATCACGCTCTTGGATAAAAAGACAATCAGTACCTGGTATTTCCTTAATCACAAATTGCAAGCTGTATCTGCTAAACGGATCGACTGAGCCTGGCACTGAGGAGAACTAGCACGCAGAGTCTTATCCTGCTTTCAGTAACCCTTGGGAAATAGGGAGTAATTCATATGAAGTCCTTGGATTTCGTCATTAGAGGAAAAAAGAGATTCAAGACCATCATGGATGTCTTGGTGCTGGCTCATGTATACCAGCCAGAATTTCCCATCCATCTCAATGGCAGACTGCAGTCATACTGCAAAAAATCTTCCCATCAACTGAGTAGAGCTTTTGAAAAGTATCAGTGAACCCACAGTAACAAAAGCTTACAAAATCCTGAAAACAAACCAGAAGCTACCAGAAGACATTCCCTAATCAGCCATTTGTTTGTTCAAAGGGAAGTTTCCAACAGGAGATTTCCTGGAAAAGCTTCCTCTCCTTGTTCCAGTGTCAATAGCAAAGCAGCTGGAATTGTGTCTCAGCAAGCCTGGCTGCATGCTGCGCTGGCACATCAGGTGCCAAACCTTGTTTCATTACCAGCGTGTGCCTGAGCGAATGCTGGAGCAACACGTGGGCGAGCTCTTGCTCAAGCATCTATCTGTAGCACCCACCTGGAGAGCCATATTCATGTCTTGGCAAGCGGCATATCTTGGGCATGACTTCGATCAGAGTCTTCACATACTGCAGGATGGTGCCTTGCAGCTGTTGGAGACAAAGGGAGGTTAAACTGGAACGACGGCTTCTCCTGGTGTTGGTTTTGAAAGAGGCTGGTTGTGGACAGGTCGACATCTGACAGCACGGGATGAAACCTCAGCTGGACTCCAAGAAGAACTTGCTTAATTTGGATTCTACTCAAATATAAAATTCAGCCCAAGTGTATAGAGTTAGAGTGCTTTTACCTCTTCCTCCCAAATAATAAATCACAGCTGCACTGGATTTTCGACTTCAAAATACAGCTTTCCGTGTTTGCATTGTTTGCAGCTGAAATCCAAACAACACTCAGTCTTAGATCCAGCTGGACTTCTGCTCCTAACCCAAAAAGCATTTATTTCATCAGAGCTGCTAAAGGAGTCATTCCCTAGCACAGGAAATGCTCCTTCCACCTAAGGAATTATCACTAGATACTCAGAGTTTAAACAAGAATTTACATGCGTGGAGAACAAGTTTCTGCAGACCTGATGTTTTAAACTAATTTGGTCAAGAGCAAAGGATATTTCTTAGTTAAAAATGCCTGCTGTCATTTGGAGTTATACACCTGCATCCTGTGGATACATTATACTGGATTATGCACTGAACACTATTTAGCCAAACATAAAATCTTCGTCTTTGTGCTGAATGCTGTCTGATCTCACGCACCAGCCACAGTGTTTTCAACTAAGAGGCACAAATTACATCCTCAGTAACTATGGTGCTTTACAAAAGGGAGATATAATGGATACACATTTGGGATTTTCAGTTTTACATTGCTTTGTTAGACAGGTTCAAAACGATGTCATTGCAGTCCAAACAGAATTTAAATATTTTTAATGAAAGTTGTCTTTCCAGTAAAGCAAGGGTTTTAGTAGAAAAGCATGACCTGAAAAATTATACATTTTTGCACACTCCCTCCTCTCTTCTTAAGTTGGTATTGTTAGTGCCTTTAGGGAGCACATGGGATCATTTCCCTGAGGACACCACATTTCTCTTCTGAAAAAGAAGAGAACTAGAGAGCAGGCAGCGCTACTGGCAGCCTTGCTTCAGAATACCTGATGGAAATGGACAGCATGGCTGAGTAAGAACTCACCAACAGCTTAAGACTCAAAAAGTTGGTTTAATCAGTTTTGCTGTCTGCTCCCTACCTTCCTGCAGCTCTGCAGGGAGACGAGACAGTGCTCTTGCTATCGCTGAGCACAAGAACATGTCTCGAAGGTCTTCCCAGAGCTGTGCTGTGGGACCATGAGTGCCATGGCCCACTTGATCACTTCCCAGTGGCTTTTAGTGAAGCAGCTGGCCAACTCCACCAGCCCCAGATGTAGGTGGCTGATCACAGTAAACACTTGAGGTTGGTGGAAACAGTCCATCATCCTACAAGAATCAGTGAGATTCCTAAGCAACAGTGAAAATCAGATGGTTACTACAAGTGCCTCAGTGTGGATCAAGCGACATGAAGGTGCACAGATGTAAACACCCTGAACCCAAAGCCCAGGCTGACCATCCAACCCTTGCCTCTCAAGGTTTCTCCTTTGCCAGGATTAGGCTCAGAATTACCAGGCTCTTGACGATCTTCAACAGCTCCTCCATGACCACAGCAATGCCTTGATAGCCAAGAAGCCTGCAGATCGTCTTGAAATGAGGTGGCCCCACAAAATTGCGGTAGGAGCTATAGATGTGGCTGTAGGCAATGTTGAGAGGCTGAGAAATGAGAAACACAGTGACAATTAGGAGCAGTCTCCAGATCTGTAAGTAATTCTCTTCCCACAGTATTAGTTCCATCACTTAAAATAATTTTTAAGGAAGAGAAAGAGACATAATAATACCCACAACAATTCCCATTTCTTCTACTTCTTGTAGTAAAGAGGAGATTGCTTTTCTTCCTACATAGCCAGATATATTCTAACCTCAACACACTGTCATGTCACAAAGTTTATTATCCTGCTATGTAGCAACACCACTTTAATTTCCAAGGTAATTTACTCTTCCATACATTCCCAATCAATGATTTCAGTTCACTTTTCACCTTTTTCCTCTTCAAACCCAAACACTTTGCTATTAGAATAAAAATCTTTATGTACAAGTAACCAGACAGGGTTTTTTTCTATAAGCACTTCCTTTAAATGAAGCTTATTAAGAAAAGTAGGAACTTTGGCATCTGAGCTTAAGGACAGTTGGAACAGACACAGAAAAGATCCTTTTTGCATCCTGCAATGCTCTACCTCAGCCTCTGTACTTAACAGACATCTCCATGGGACTGTGAAAAAGGCAAGTATCTAACACTGCTCTAGGGAGAATAGTAGCCAGGGCTCTGCCCTCAGAATTTTTAGCAGTAGTGAACAGGAAGCGATTTCCAGGAATGTATGCTATCAGTATAATCTTGGAAATGTGGAGATTGCTGCAATGTTGTATCACTGGAACATTTATAGGATCCACTTGGTGTGAGGGAAACAGAAGCAGGGGGAGTTGATTCACCTGTGTGATCTGCCAAAAAAAAAAAAACACCTGAAAAATCAGATTTAGCTGAGACACCCCATGCTCGACTCGGTCCGGCAGCAGAAGTGTTGGCATCATGATTCAGTGCAGCAGAGAAGGGCTGCAGTCTCCCCTCCATGACATCTGTAACTGTAACCTCAGCAAACAGCATAAAAGCACATTCTGAACAGATTCTGGCATGTAGTGCCCCTTCCAGCAAAACAGATAAATCCCTGGCTCATGCTTACCAAAATAAGGCTAAGAAAACAAACTGAACTGTACCCCCAATGCACCGTGCAAGGCTGACTTCGGTTCTTGTGTGAAGGCTGCATACTAGGGGCACACTGCATCCTCACATAGCAGGGAGCTTGCTTCCCTGCAGATAGTGCAGACCCCACTCCCCGGGATTCGCTTCCCTGCCAGTGATGGAGCCAAGGGAGCAGAGGGACCAATGCACTGAAGAGCTTGGGGTGAAAGGGAGCAAGTGCTGAAGTAGCAGAACAGGACAAAACGCTGTCTGTCCTCCAACACTGCTGCTCCCAGGAATTGCAATCCAGCCCGCTGAAGGCTTCAGTCATCCTCCAATTCTGACTCACTTCCTCGAGATTTACTAACACTTCATTTGAGTTACTAATGAGTTACAAAGTGAAGCTATTTGCTAAGAATCGGAGAAGTATTTTCTTTGCTCTCAGATACAGAATTTCAGCAGACTGATGTACTGATTGTGCTTTCATAGACTTAGTTGCTTTAACCAATTAATTAGTTGTCCCTCATTTTGTTAC